CTTTGATGGGGCGGGGCTTCAATAGTTGTAGTAAAGTAGTAACTATTCTCTTCCAGCAAATTTCACTGATGATGCAATTTTTTTTTTTTTTAAGGTTTTGCTTTAAATATATTATAAAAAATACCTAATTCTACTTATTTGTTTCTAAACTAAATATAATCAAAGTTGTAGACATGCAAAATCACAGCAGTAGGCTCGTAGAATTGCGCCTAGCTTTCTGGGTACTGCACGTAGCTCCTGACATTTTGGCCTAGAGGCTATGATGGGTCAAATGCAGAGGCCAAATTTCCCTATACAACAAATCATCTGAATCACATATTTTCTTTTCTGGCCAAGTCCCGGAAAACTTCATAGCGTCCATGAAAAGGTAAAAGAGGTAAAAGCAGTGATATAATGGAGCGGGTTAAGTGGTGGACAGGGGGAGGGGCCACAGACAACCTGGAAAAAGCTCTTTGTCACGGCTGCCTTTGACAGCGCAGAACTTAAAAGTGGTCCGTGGCCATCGCTCAGTGGACGCACGGCCGCCAAGCACAACAAAGATGTGAGGAGCGCAGCAGAAAGAGAGGGAGAATGCTTTTACACAAATCTTCCCCGACTCAAGTGAGCAGTGAGAAGTTTGGCTCCGGAACAATTTGGAACTTTTTTGTTATTTCTTATGGAGTTTGATCAGATGGACTTTGACTTTTAACGGAGAGTTTTCGCCTCTTGCCGATACAGTTGTCGAAAAACGGCAAGATAATGACAATCATGTGTAATATGGCTGCAAGTAATGATTGTTTTAACAGTAATTCTACTCAAATAATACTTCTTTTGTTGACTGACAGTTTTCAAATGTGTTCGTAATCGTTATGTGTTCGTAATGTTAAAATAGCGTCTGAAGCCTCATCTAGTATACCCCATACATCACCAGATAATTATTCAAAAAAACCTTTCAAAATATTTCTCTAAATTTAAATAAATGTTGTATTTCAATCTTTTGAAGTATATGTCTAAATATGAATGCATTCAAAAGGTAACAGCCTATAGTTTTAGCAAAGTTTTAGTCTGAAGGAGTAACTGAAAAAAAGTTATCCATGGGGAAACACTACATTTTTTCAAGATTATGGATGAATATGAACATTTTTAAAGCTGATGCGACTTCTTGATGTAGTCTTCATGTTATAAAAAACGTGAATACTACATGGCTTATGTTGCAGTCTGCATTGACCAGTTATTGATTACCATGATTGAAATAGGATTACTTATTTGCCCACATATCCAATGTTTTCTCTGTTTTTGTATAAAGTTTGTTTAGAGCTTTTCTTTGGGTGAATGTGGTTGTGGTTAAATATTATTTAAAATGAGCCCAAGGTCGCATATATTAAGTTACAGTCTTCATTTTGGTATTGACTCCCAAACAGACGGTCGAGTGGACAGTGTGAGGTTAACAGCTGGAAGTGGTCAAGAAACGTGAATTGTGCCGCATGTGGACCCCAGCCTGTAGTTTGCCCAGGACCATGGCTCCAAATCGTTCTAAATTTAGTCATATGTTAAACTCTGCCGGAATTTGAAACGTGTCTATGAATGTAGGTGAAATCAGCTCAAAAATAAGAATTCCCCTTTGGTCTAAAAGATGGCAGTGCTGCAGAAGTCTCTCCCAGTGTGATGTATGGAGTTGGACAAATGAAAACAGATTGCAGTGGTTATGGGACTAGGCCTGTTTCCAGTTATGAGGAGACAGAAGGAGTGCTGCTGCTGCTTCTCTCTGCTCAAATCAAAATAACTGGAGTATTTCAAAACACAAAGCTGCTGTTATGTGGCCACGAATGCTTTATACTAAATCAGACAAAGGGATTCAATTTTAGGAGCAACTATTTACTATTTCAATGGTTCAAAACTATTACGAACACATTGATCCAATCCGGCATTGTAATCAGACTTGCGACAACTAAAGTTACTATATTTTCTCGCCTCTTCACAGATCTGCCATGTAATTTTCTTGTAGTGCTACATGCTTATAATCTGAAATCAAGTTAGTGTTTCCTCTCTGTTATAATGTACGCATTGGAAATCTATTGTCAAAGCCGCATAAAGAAACATATTAAGATCGTGTGGATAATTTTGTGTTCAAAATTATTATTAGTTTTACATTAATAGTGCAATGTTATCATATATGCCACAATATATTTGAAAGTTTTATGAACATTGATTGACGCCCTTTTCAAAAACATAAACTCGCAAGCCCCACCCCCTCATAGCTTCATTTTATATTGTCTGAAATTAGAAATGGTGACTTACCACCTAAATTGTATATAGCTGGACAGTGCGAACCCTCTAGCTCAATGAAGCCCAATTGGAAAGTGCTCGTGGACAAAGTTTTGCTCCAACAATCTCTTCTCCTATTGACATACATTGAAAAGTAGACTCCTCTATCTCAGTAACTGTTAGTGTCACGCTATAGTGCTCTCTAGCATCTGGATGTTTATATTGTAATATTGTCTTTCAAATTCAGATATGAGCCATTTATGGATATAAGTTTTTTTTCACATAAATAATCCATTTTGTTTGTCCTAGCAAAAAGTGTGTCAAAGTAAAATATTGTGTCTTCATCTTATTAGAAAACATATTTTGCGTATCTACGAAAGAGTCACCATTTGACCCTTTAAGGTGAGAGCTGATTGGCTGAGTGAGGGTAGCTATCACTATTTAATTTTGTTTTGTTTGAAAAAGTTGATGTAAAGAAGTGACAGATACCAACAATATATGCATGTAAAATCCAGTGAGTTTCATTATGTTGTTCCGTTTTTACAGTTTGAAAGTTAGGTACCCCATTATTAAAGTGCAGCCATAGTTGTTCTAGCCGTCTGCAGGTATGTCCCTCAGTGTCCTCTCTGTCTGTAGACCTTATAAGGCCCTGCACTGTGTCCTTTCCCCTTGTCTCCTCCTCTTCTCTCTGTTCTCTCCATCCACTTGCCCCGTCTGCTCTAGATCTTCCCCTGCACTATTTCTCTGTTGCCAGTTCACTATAAACAAATGGAGTTTGACCATAACACTCTAAGCCATAGCTGCATGCGCCCCCTCCTCCTCCTTTTCTTCCTCCTTTTCAACATTATGAAGTTCTCGGGGTCAGTGAAGGTGACCAACTCAAATAAAACTTGTGCGCTTTTGCTGTAGAAGATGGTATTTAAGTAGCCATTAAAGGTTACATTTACAAGCAACGATGTGGGAGAGGAAAAGGTGAAGTTGATCACGGGCCAAAGAGTTGGATTCATAATGAAGATGGCGTTAGAGAATATAGCTTTTGAGTATAATGCGGTAACATTTTAGGTGTTTGTTCTGTAAAGAGATAGATCTAAATAAAAAAATCATATATTTTTGGCATCAAATATGCATGATCTGATTTGACCAAGTAACCAACAGCCAAGGATCACTGTCAAGGCAGGGCAAGGCACGTTTATTTTCATAGCATAGTTCATACACAAGGCCACTCAAAGTGCTTTGTTAAAAAAAAAACATCGTTCAATTCTATTTATTCTTGTATAGCCCTAAATCACAACAGTAGTTATCTCAGAGGACTTAACAAAACCATTGAAATCGCCAACACAGATCAGAGAATCAGTTCTAAGACCAAAATATAGAAAGTATTGGTCAAAAGGGGGAAGTTGACCATGTCGTAGAATGTTAGTGTCCTGGATCATCACCACAGTCCTTTTTGTTAGACCATGAACAGTCTAACAGACCCTCCTGCAACGGCATGGAAAAACTCTATAACCCTTTTAGAGCCTTTTAATGCAAGGCAATAAAATCAACAAAAAATGACAGTACATTACAAGAGAGTGAAGATACAATCCTCCAGTTGAATGTAGGGCTAAACCGAATACTCAAAACAAAAGTGCTCATTTCAAGTGAAAGCGTATACTATTTAGATAACGTGTGTTTTTCCCAAGCTGTGTCAATGGATATGCATTTCTTAAAATCACTATTACATCGTATGCAAATACTTTATTGTGAAATGTAACAATTGTATGTATTGAGGTATTACCAATATTATGCACAAGGGCTCTTTGATTAGTCTGGTATTACGCAAACAAAAAGAGGAAAAGAAAGATGTTGCAGCTGCTTGTGTTGTCCATAATATATATCTTATTCCAATAGAAATGCTGCAGCTCCATCATGAGGGATTTTACATGCAGCTTCCAGGAGACTCCCTCTTGGCAGTGCTCAATTTGGACAAGATTTATAAGAAAGAAAGAATGGAGGAGAGGGTTTGGACGGTGAGGAGACATGAGGGGAAAGAGCAGAGTTCCAAAAACACTGTGGAATCGTGGCACGGTTTCACTATTGCGGCTCCAGAGGCCGAGCCAAAGCTTCACCTGACAGCATGTCAATGAGAGGGGAGGGAGAGGAGGGAGGAGAGGGAGAGGAGGGAGGGGAGAGAGAGGAGGGAGAGGGGGGAGGGAGAGGAGAGGAGAGGAGAGAGAGAAGGGAGAAGAGGAGTGATCAAGGAGGAGGGATGGGGAAGCAGAAAGGGAAGAGGGATAGGCAAGAGAGGAGGTTAAGGAGATGCTTTTTCAGAACCTATTTTCTATTAAATAAAAAGTAAGGTACCCCAGCTTTAATATACAACCACAGAGCTTATAGTGGTGGTCCTGGACATTTAGGGACATTTATTAACAGTATTGGACATTTCTTCATCCTGCTCCATATGGACCAATGGCTGTCTGATTCTCTGATCTGACTCCGAGACGACTGCGGTTGTGATTTTGGGCCATACGCAAATACATTGAATTGAATTAAATATAGTGACTCCAACGGCTCGTTCTTACCCAATAATTCAAGAACCCATCAAATTCATGTTTCATATTTTTGCAGTGTATAGAAGTCAATTCTTTGTTCTATCTCCCTCATAGTGAAAACAAACACAGCCCATCCTCAACTTGTCCTCCGCCGCCCTGCACCACGCTCCATGCTTGACTTCTGTCCCGTGTATACCCAGGTGTCTCTTGTGTGTTTATATCTAGGATTAGGCGAAGCGCTGACAGGACGAGCCCACATCTCCACCATAGCACCACCACCACCACCACCTCCTCACCCCTCCCGCTCTCCCCACTGGTCGGGGCCCCGGTGTGGGATAAGCCGGTATGCTCTGGCACCCTCCTCTGGTAATCCGCTCCTCATTTGTTAACAGGGGCACACACAAATATGAACTTGTTTTTTGACTATATGTCTTTACCAACAAAACAACAAGAGATATTCTTTTAAAGCTAGGATACCTAACTTCCAAGCTCTCAAAACAGTTTAGTTATAATCATGTGCATGTATTTCTGGCCTCTGTCATATGTTCAGGTTAGATTTTTCAAACTAATAGTGAAAAGAGAGGCATCCACATTCACTCACATTGACTCCTAGGGGTCTTTCTCATCAATATCCAAAACATAGTTAAGTTAAACACAATATATTGTGGTCTGGTTTGCAAAATGTTACTATTTACAAGCCTCTTTCTATTGGGACGAACAAAAAGTAATATTTACAAAACAATGTCTCACAAATTTCACTGCATTATTTCTTCAAGTACAAACTCTCTGACAATATGGACGGAAAAATGTGTGATATGGCAGAACAAAGAAGAAATACTTCGAACACAAAAGCAAAAACTAGGAATGAAGGAAGGCCATTTCTTTATATGGCACATTTCATACATAACTGCAACTGAATGTGCTTAACAATGAAATAACCATAGAGAATAGAGACACATCTAAAAGTCTTTGAAAGTCCTTGGTTTACCCTTGATAAGACAGAGCATTCCGTTTCATAAATAAGGATAGGGACCTACACCTTACATTTATTTGATCACAAAGCAGAAAGCAATATTTTTTTTACTGTGACGTTAAGCAGCAGTGTTCAGCATTACTTATTTAGTTATATAATTGTGTTTAATACTCAACATCTTTAAAACCATCCTCTCAACTTTCGACCAATGAGCACACATACAGACAGTAGTCACCTGCCACATAGCTGTAAACGCTTGTTGACACGTTGGCGCGCAGAGAAGATGGCGCAAATGCTGAGTTCGAATGCACGCTGTGGTTTGGAAACGCTCCAAAAAACTGTGTCAAGAAAGGGCGAGCCGTCAGTGTGCAGGCCGTAAACTTAAATGGGATTGGCACGTACTGTAGCTCTTAAGTATGTCACGAAAGCACATTTTGGACTGACATAATAGAATAAATGAGTAAAGAAATATCTACTCAAAAGGTACATACAGTATATATTAACGGCTTTTCTTTGGCCAAGCTGTAGTATTATGCAGTGTCTCTTGTTCTTGACTCTTTTGTGAGTCATCTGGAGGGTGGAGGGTGATAGACAGTGGAAGGACTGCGATGATCTGAGATATTTAGAAGCATTTATGCACATTTATTAACATCCTGCTCCCTATGGACCAATGGTTCCTATGTGTTTGCCTTTCCTGTGTTCAAACTGTTTTATTCTCTAATCTATTACTGGCAAATCCACTCTGTAAAGTCCTCCGAAATGACCGCTGTTGTGATTTAGGACTATAATCAAATATATTGAATTGAACATATTCAGAGCTATTTTAAGAAATATGCATTTGTATTGAAGTCATTAATATCCCCTTACACCTGAGACACCAGTACTCCCTCTAGCCACTGTCTTACGGCTTTTACCGTAGGCTCTGCCATTTCCGCTTGAAGGAAAAATATCAAATGATTGCCAACTTAATTTGTCTGTGGGATCATGTTTCTGCTGATGTGTAAAAGATTAGGGAGCAATGCGTTATGATTAGGGTTGTGAAAAAATCAGATATTGGTCTACGTTAAAACTAGTATAAAAACTTGATACTAATTTGAGAAACTTAAATATACTAAATACAATTACAGCATTTTTGATACATTTCACACCATAGCAGAAAAACTTTTATGTAATTTTGGGCCTCCAAAAATAATATGATAATATTTGGAGAAAATTTGTCTTTTGTCGAAAAACCAGTGTCTCAAGGTTCAAAGAGCAGAAGAAAAAATAAATAACACTAGTTACAGACTAGCAACATAATTGTTTGTTTGATTAGAAATATGTTTAAAGTAGTAGTCGCAATTATAGCTCCATTGTAGCTCTGTTAAAACCTCTTTTCGTCTTTTTTTTCCAAGTATGATTATAGATTAGTAAACTATTTCAATAATGATTTTTTATTATCAAACATACATCAATTTTCGATTTAGCATGTTATGTACCCTTCAAGTCCCAAACCCGACCTGTGGATAGTCCTGATTCCACAGTCTTATAACTTACTTCATAACTTTTTACACAGGCATGGAGTGGCTCAGCTGGGTGCCGCCGCAAGCCTTGTTCTTTTTCAAAACCGCACTTGAGAGACGAAGCTGAAATTAAAACCCCAGTTAAGGATTCGTCCATCAAGAGGGAATATCACAGGGGGAGAGAATTTGTCGGATTTTGGCTCGATAACCTTTGAAACGCCGACGACAGAGATTCAAAAAGCAGATCAAATTACAGCTGGTGTGTGTGTGTGTGTGTGTGTGTAGGTGGGTGTGTGTGATTGCAGCAACTCTGGAAAAACCTCTTACTATTTCTAAGAATTTAATGAAGCAACATTAAGATAGTAGAGTTCAGATATCAAACCATATGCAAAACAAATTACAAGAAATCGGTTAATAGAGCCTGCATATAAGCATATTACCTCTCATTAATCTATAGTTGATCCACTGAAGAAAAGATTTCATAAATTGAACATATTTTGACAACACTATTTGAAACTAAATGCGGTCTTATTTCCACAGAAAAATCCACATTGCCTGTATTGCTCCATTATTATACAGTTTTCTTTAAACAAAAATCTAAAATGTTTCCATCAACATACTGATTTAAAAATTAGAATATTATGAAACCACATACTAATCTAGAAGACGCATTCTTATTCCTTAAATTCCATATCTAAAGCAGTCCCTCCCTTCAGCATGACCACCACCACCACCAAAATAAAATGTTTTGACAAATGTGGAGGGGCCTAAGTCGCCTTATCAATTGTTATGATTAATTGCATCCAATCAGGAAGCTTTGGGGGAATTCTAACTAGAGTTTGCCTTCTAAAATTTGTCCCTATCGTCACAATTTCAAAAGCAACGGATCTTCTCTTTAAAAGGGGATAGGAAACATTTAAATTTGTTTTGATTTGGTTTGGTTCTAATCTAAAGATAAAAGACTGGTTTAAAAAAAAAATGTATGTGCTGTTGTGGAAGTGATGGAGGGAAGCTATTGTGTTCTATTTATAAGTTAAATTTTGCTTCGCCAATGGCAATTATTGGCTAAAAATGACATAAATGTGTGATATTTAATGGATGAAACTCCTAAAAGAGGCAACAAATCCAAAATCCATATGCTGAACAAGATTTTGCTTCTTATTTGAGGCCGTGGACATCTCTCCCATTGAAACGATTACCGTAGCAACTTGCACTCATATTAGACAGTTTTACTCTCTTGTCTCACGCCTGTCCTCTCGAAAAAGAAAAAAAGGACTGTATTTTCATTTCCGAACAGTGATTCAATTAAAGGCGCCTCTGTGTGGTCTTGCTGTAGTGAATTTAGTCGCGAGCTATTAAGGCCAATTTACGCAGGCTTGTTAGGCGACGACGAAACCTCTGGCACTCCAAAACCACTTCATTGAAAAACTAAAAATAATACAAGCGCCAAATGAGGTCTGCACACGGCTTTGAAATGATCTAATTACTAAGGACGAGACGCAGTGTAAGGAAATACACGTTTTTTTTTACAAAGTCGTTGTGAAGAACTGTGTACATTATAACAGTGATGTAATTGGATGTAATTGTTGCTATGTATTTTAAGGACAAAACAGTTAGGTAATTTAGTCTGCAATAAAGCTAAACTGTCAATAGATAAAATATGGAAGGACCCAAAAGCAGAACTGTAAAATAATATGATAACACCAGGGGATAAAACAATGAACTGACAGCAAGAGCATAGGAGGAAAGGGTCTAAATACACACAGTGAGACACAAGAGTAACACATGAGTAGGGGAACACATTCAACAGGACAGACAGGAAGTAAAACTTAAAAAATAAAACATGTAAGAATATATCAACAAAATGTACAAAAATGGGGGCGACAGTAGCTCAGTTGGTAGCGCGTCGGCCTTTGGGCCTGAAGGTTGTAGGTTCGAATCCACCACAAGATCTGTCATGACTCCCACTGATGACTGCTGTCGTTGTGTCCTTGGCCAAGACACTTAACCCCACTTTGCCCAAAGCCCCAACTGAAAGATCTCAGCTCTTGTGGACTCACCACCTGCAGGAGGATAAGTGAGGGGCTGGTGCTCTGACTGTCATCCCCCGACCCAGAAATGGATTAAGGGGAAGAAAATGGATAGATGGAGGGATGTATGAAATGTACAAACCATGATAGGAACTGTTTTATAGCCCGATGCTTGCATGAGGTGAAGAAGATTATAAAACTACATAAAAAGTAGTCCTTGTAAAAAATATGTATGGGAATCTGTATAAACTTTCTGAAGTCCATTACAATTCCCTCTGGTCCAGGGTGCATCGAGCTGTGACTTTAAAAGACTTATTTTGAAAGTTCAGTTTGACAATAGCTGTTTGCCCTACTCTGAGAAAAAAAAAAGTCACAGGTCCAAACAACACACCACCCTTTCCCACTGTTGTCCCGGGGCCAAAACGCCATTTCAACAGGTGTCGAAAAACACAGGGAGCAGACAGAAGCGTGATATTTCTTCTTCACATGTACGCAAATATGGGGCAATAAAATCAAGTCAACAAGAAAGCAACAATAATTATAACTTTAGACACAATAGACGTGCTCACAGATGTAGCACTTGCCTCTTGATAAAAGGCCAGGATAATAGGTGTGTAACTGTACATGGAAAAGAGACGATCCACGAACTGTCATCTTTAAGGGAAGGCGGTAAGGACAAGAAGAAAAAACTGAGGCGTTATCATAAGTAGCTTTTGATCACTACAGCTTTTGATGTGACATTAATAATAATAAAGCTAAGACCTTAATGCTTCGCAAACATACTGTAATTATGTCAAGTCTATTGACATTCGAACCGGTTGGGTGAGTTTCAGTTCCGTATGGTTACTGAAGTACATAGGC